TTGCGAATCGCGCGATTCCCTAGCGTCTGCGGTCGCGTCGCGGCCAGTGAATCACCCAATTGGCTGGCACCGTAACGCGACCGCGGACGCTTGCGAATCGCGCGATCGCAAAGTCTGACATCGACCTAGGAAAGATTGAAGAAGTTTCAGGTGCTTTGAAGGGACACAAAAAGTCCTCCCGCTCCATCCCCCTCTCCTTTCCCCCGCAGTGTGCTCCATCGATTTTTTCCGGGTAGCCCGACACATTTTGTGTTATCATGGGGCTAGGACTCAGGGTGAAAGATAGTTTTGAGGTTAAGGTGGGTGTGCTTTTAACTCCCAGCTAGGCTGAATACTCCCAAAATCCTTTGAAATTCGCCAACAAGTGTCACGAAACAACTTCAATTATGTGTTTTCTGAAGACTATGAGATTATTTTGCGGCGATATGGGATAAAAATATTCGGGAACTTTCCCTCGAAACGGAGGAAACACCAAGAAAAACTTCCTTCATCTTGTAAACTTCCTGCATATTCTCCATCAAAATTAGGGATCTCCACTTTCTGCTTTTTCTCCGAATTTTTCTCCTCTCCTAAAATAGCCCGCTAAAAATGGCGCCGTGAACAAGGAAGGAAGCTTTAACGACGTCGTAAACCAAAAAATTGTTGATTCAAGAAGCACAAAAGAAATTTTGCCAAGCTACGGGCACGGCATGGCTATATGTGGATCTTTACTATGATTGCTTAAGCCGTAGCTCGAATGCCGTCGCTCGGCGATTTGTTTCCGAGCGGCGCCACATGAACGTTCATCGACCAACCGATCCTGTCGCTGATAGACTAGTATGTTTGCGTACGTGGGAGATGGGTTTTTGGTTTTTCCGATGGAATATTCCGGGATAAAAGTTTTTAGGTAAACGGTACCCCGCCAAAGTCGTTAGCCAGGCCAGCAGCTCAACTTTTTCGGCCCTAAGGGAGCAACTACTACCACCAAATTAAGAAGTCTGCGTTACTGGCGCGGCAACATACTTTTACTTCTCACTGGTAGAGGGCGCCTCAGAAAACCCCTTCCTTAAGAAATTTACTCTGCACCCCCCACCTCTTTTATTGGCATAGGAAGAAATAAGAGCAATAGAGAGGAAATTTTTTCTCACCAAAAATGCTTTTCAAGGTTTGTAGAGTTAAAGGCAGTGGTCACGATGGTTGGGAGAGGGGGAACGCGGAATCGGTATTGGGGGGAGAGGGGTGATGCACTTCTGATGACTTTATTGAACGTCTTTTGTGGGCCAGACCTCTGACCTTGCTAGGGGTGGGGTTGGGACCGCCTCCTGACGTTCTTCCACCAATGACTTTCAATGACGTCATCAAAAACGCTCCACCCTCCAACCGTCGTGACCACTGCCTTTAAGTTCCCGATTTTCACTTGTAGTGCTTGTGGCAGAAGCTCAACAACGTACGACGACAATCTTACCCAATGTGAATAATGAAGCAAACCAAGCAGTGTCGACAGTGCTCAAAACGTGCACATTTACGCCAATGACCATTGTGTTGTCTCGCTTGGGTTACGGGTTACATCATAAGGGCATGAGAGCGCTAGGAAGAGGCCACCTACCTTTGCCTCGCTACCCGTTTTTTGAGGAAATTCCACTTTTTTCTAGCATCGTGAGGCATGTGGCTGCTCCCACATCAAATTCATGAAATCCTCTATACCTTGCATTATGGACCGTATCCTTGGAGCAAGTCTGCCGTAACTTTTGGGACGTTAACCTGACACCAAGCTTCTTGAGGAGGATGATTTGACATCAACCTCACGGTCTCTCTCTCCTATCACTTTTCATCAGCTTTTGATCTGATTGTAATCCTGTGCTGCGCTGAGGTCTTATAACGTCTTAGTCTCGTAATCAGAGATCAAATAAACGAAACCCGAGGTTCACGTGTGGCGATCAAGCGATCGCCATTAAACTTTCGCTCTTTAATCTTCTAATACCAACAGATAATCACTCGTTACTACTTAAACTCTAAGTAACTGATGAAAGGCTCAGTCGGTGTCGAATTATTCCTCAAACTCGAATCTCTGTAGTCTTCCTCACCTAATTTTCATCATTCCGTAATATTGCTTCTTGTTTGAAGTTCAAAATAATACCTGAAATTTGGTCTGTAGTAACCATTCATTAAAGTTGATCCTTAGCGGAGCTACCGTATCCACGATAGCAATCGGTCGAATTGTTTCGAAACAAACCCGTGTTGATCAATGGTTCCCAAACGTGCCTTATACCTAACCACTGCAAAAAAATTTCATTGTTACTAGACATTAGGGGTAAGTAGACAAGCGTGAATACAGTCGTTTTCTGCAGGTATAAAAGCATGAAAAGGTTAGAGCACAGAGAAGCAGGACAACTCTGCGTCTATGGGGCGACCGATCCGCAACACAGTATATCCCAGAATTGAGCACATGAGCGTCATGTCAATGTGGATTCAAGACCTACAGAATACCACGGAGGGGCTAGAACAGGTATTGATCGATTATCGATTGATTTACTCTGTTGATCAATAATTGATTTCTATTTGTTAACCTTCCAATCAGCGGCCAACGGATTGCAAAGTGGTATCATAATCCACATAATTCCTAGAAAGTAGGTCTCATGCGAAGAAATTAGGGGTGTATTGTCCGTAAGTGCACCGATTCAATTTTAAGACCCTTTCTATCGTACCACTTCACCCTCCTAACTCGTTTCGTTTTCCGGTTTCCGCTTTCTTTGTCTGAGTCTACTGTATTCCAGTGAATCACCATGGGTATGGACGCTGTCAAACCAATCGAACCGAGTATCAGTGCAGATGCAGCTTCTTTAGGTAATGCTACCGCATTATTCCTTATCAATGCGACTGTATGAATTATATGATTTCTTTATAGCTAAACAAATATGCAAAAATTCCAGAAATTTCTAGGCACCGTCTCAAAGCAACCTTATGTACCACCACAACCGCTAACATGTGGCCAAAAGGTGAAACGATGGTTTCGAAAGTATTTCCTAGAAGGTAATCGTTTGAATAATCGATAATTGATTCCATAAACTATCGCTTCTCTGTTCAGGGCAGTACCTGGACACGGAAGCAGAGGCCGAATTGCACACACTACCGGAAAACCCTACACTGGAGGACCTGATCTTCATCAAATACAGAAAATTCGTTGCCATGCTCATTCCGTTCGTCCTTATGCAGGTAACCCGGGACATCAATATTTTCCATCGAAACAAAATCAATAACGATTTTGAAGACCGTTTGGTGGATGGTCGCTATCCGATACAACTTCTTCCGATGGTATCCTGAATACTGGCATATGCCGGTGACGATGATCCTTGGCTCCTTTGTTGGAGGTAGGTAATCGATATATTGATTTCCAGGCCACCCTTCGCGATCGATACCTGTTTTTCTAGGATAACATCAGAAGGAAGTGGAGCGGTGGCTTTTCCCGTGATGACGTTGGCCTTACATATTTCGCCATCAATAGCCAGAGATTTCTCACTTATGATCCAATTTCTTGCCGGTCTGCTAGATGATATTGAGTGTTCCACCTCGCCGCCCATTACAGTTTTCACAGAGACCAATCAATAATTGATCTTTCAGGTATGACCTCGGCACTGATGTGTGTGCTATTTATGAAAGTGAAAATCGAAAATCGTGCTGTTGTATTCGGCACGCTCGGAGGCATTCCCGGTTTTATAATCGGTGTACATTTTGTAAGTTTTCCGCAAAAAATCGATAATTGATTGCTGGCCAACAGTAGCTTGCGTTGCAGATCGATCCGTTATTCACTGGATCTCAGAAGAAAATGATGTTCGTGGCGATTTGGACATCCTTCGCCATTGCCCTGGCAATTCTCAACTCGCACAAAAAAACGCAAAACAATTCAAGGAAATCCCAGAATTTCTACTGGTGGAAAGCTGTTGTGCTGTTCTTACCGGATTTGTTGGAGGTCAGTTGAATCAAAGAAATTATGTCAAGAAAAGTACCTAATAGTTCAATAAATCAAATTTAAAGCCCATCAGTTATTTCCGCAACCGCAGAAGAATTGTTGAACGGGTTTCTGTAGGGGTCTGGG